CAGCATTTTGCTTATTGGTACGAGGCTGGCATTCGAGAACCTTTCTTCCCCATCAGGTGTTGGTTTCTCGAGTTATATAACCGGCCCATTGCCACTTCAGCTTCCTAGATGGGCTACGTCGGTTAATTTGGTTTTACTACAGGTGTCCGTATTACGAAGTCTATCAAGCGGAGAAACTCCAAGCATAGCCCTGTCCATAGCACGCTGTGTGGCCTTGAGTTATTTCCTACGACTAGCATTGAACGACCAATACAAATGAATTCCTCTGTTTTCTTCTTGGGTAATTCACTAGACCAAATATTTTTCTCGATACAGTACCAATATCTATTATATACTACCGCAATATGTCCCGCTATTTGTTTGTATCAGTACAGAGTTTTCTGCGGTTTTTGAGGATTTTTGAACCAGGAAAGGGACTGTTGCACAACTTACTGCTTGGTAGATTTCACATGCTCTCGAAAATATATTTTTTGTTTATCAGACATGCAGATTTGTCTACGACGTTTTTCTTTATACCGTAGATTCGCATCTCGCTGTAAATCAGCACTTAAAATTACAAGCTGATGTACTCGGCTGGGAACTAATTGAGTTACGGTTATTTCCTGATTTACAGACTCTTTAATCAAATAACTATAATTCATAATGGCAACCATTTTTACCACGTCTCTGTCGTCCTGAGCTGTATTTAAAGTTTCTAATATCTAGCTCATTGGCCATGCTGCAGCTATATTACTGGTATCCGACCGGGATCCGACCAGGACCACGCTCTCACAGAATACCAGCGCAAAATAGCAGCTTAATGCTACTGTGTTTCGTATGGTGAGTGTAGAGGATCAGAGACCCTTTTTGCTGTAAACGAGACGTTCTATCTCAGTCCTCAGGGGTTGACAACGCATCTTCATGATTGGATTCATAATTAAATACAAATGTAGATGTCTATGGGCTACAGTGTCCACTTACCATCAGGTGGACTGTGTGCTCGTTGGTCACGCTTATTCAAGAAAAAAATACCAGTGATGTGGATTACATGAAGTAGCCATAGCAAATTATAAATCATATCACATAGGTTTTAAATTTGTTTTTTTTTCTTCTTGTATTATGTAGTGACGTACGTCATTAATATTGTAAGGCGTGGAAGTGTTCTCTCCTGTGGTAAATATAAAAATGATTTTTGTTATTCATATAATAAATAAATAAAAATGAAATAAACAAATGTTTACGTGGTAGAGTCACGCTCCAGCGTACCAACTCAATATACCAACTGGAATTAGGTGAAACGGTTTTGCTTTTTATGGTGAATGAAGTAAAACAGAGACTTTTTTTTACTGGCATCGAAGCATTTCATTTTAGGCCTCGGGTGTAACCACATCTGTATTTTGATTCTTAATCCAGAACAGACAGGTGACTATGGGCCACAGCTACCGCTTCTCATCAAGTTGTGTTCTTTTCTTACCCTTAATTCTATAAAAAATGGTGTTCTGCTAAATCTCTCTTACAACATCCATAGGTCGAGATGGAATAATAGGTTTTCTCACGGTACCATCACACGGAAAGCTACAAACGATTTAAATAGATTGTGATTGTTGATTGATTAAAGCGTAAGCATTACATCATAAAGAACCATCATCATCATCATCATTACAAATGTTGAAATCAAACAGTTTATGCGTCATTAAAATATAAGGTATTCAACTTTATCAAGTAGTCGGGATCTATATTAGCCTTCTTTGAGTTGAGTTCTTGAGTTCCAAAAGAAAAGGTTCTATATTCGTCGCGTATGTTTTTAGGGAAATCAGTAGAACTATACAAATGTTCACTGATTTTTATGATTATTATTTTATTGAATAGTTATATTGCAAGTATAAATAAAAATTATCACCTCTTAGGGTGAAATAACTAAGGTTGAAATTATAAATGTAGCTATTTAGACGCTATTGTTATTGTGACTTTGAACTTGTGATATTTCTTAGTTCACTCAAAAGTTCGAAATCGACTTAAGAATCAAAAAATAAAAATAAATATCCATATAATAGCTTCAGAGCCATGGTAACTCAAATGGTTCGCGCGTGCTCTAAAATTCACAGTATGTGAGCAACCCGGGTTCAATCCCCACAGGCACCAATGTAATTGTTAATTGTAATTTTAAGTGCCAATTTACCACATGCTCGGCGGTGAAGGAAAATATCCTAAGGAAACCTGCATGTCTAAGAAATAAGAAAAAATATTTCGAAGACTTGAAGTCCGCCAACACGCATTGGGGCAGCGCGGTGGACACTTCCTTGCCCTAAAACCCTCTCAGAAGTGAGAGGAGGCCTGTACCCAGTAGTGGGACGTATATAGGCTGTAATTTTAACTATAATAGCTTCAAAAATCAGGTCTATAATTTTATAATATCTACTCTGTGGTTACACCAGTACCGACTTCAGAAGTTATTATGTGGAAAATATTTTATTATTTTTTGTTTCTAAAGTTATTTTCATTTTATTAAGTTTAATTATATTTTAAAACCATTGCCCCCACCACACATACATAAATTTTTAAAGTTACATAGATAAATTGTACAAGTGCAAACATCCAGACCCGAAACAATTAATTGTAGACCATACAAATATTTGTTCCGTGCATGATTTGACCCCGCGGCTACAACTGCACTACCGAGTCATCAATAAGTCCGCCTTAGTTGGTATCGGACTCGAGCCTATTCTACCAACCATTCATTACAATTTGTCAAAAGTCCACAGCTGGACACAGGCCACCCCCATAGATTGCCTCATATGGGATACTTCTCATAGTTGCCACGATATGCAAGGGGTTGTCAACCGCAGTATTTTATTTTTAATTGTTACTGGAAGACGTTGCTGCTCATCTGCTTTTTTCTTTATGTACCTGTATATAATGAAAGGGTTTTTTCCTCTGTCGCCTCTTACGATACCCACGGATGATGGGTATTGGATATTCTTCCGTCGCCACTATACGGTAGCAATTTTTTTACTACAATAAAAAACTACTTAGCTACTATGCCTCAAAGTCTATTTACGAAATAATCAAACCGTAATCTTGATGAGCTATGGTAGAGATTTGGAACGATAATAATTACTACACTAAAAAATAAAAAGGTTTCGCTATCGTTTTGCATTGTGGGTCACGATGCTTGACGCAATGTTGCTTATATAACCAAGTTCGACGTTATGTTTATTTAACGGGCCTTGACTGTGAATTGAGAGCTTTTACAAATGACTAAAATAGTCTGCGAATAAGTGAACGAGGTTAAACAAATGACGAAATATATTTTGGATCGAGATTGAAGACCTATTAAAAATATACAGAAACGGAAACAGTACTTTTTAAATCCAATATAGAATATAAATAATACTTATTGAAAGTCACTCTTTTGTTTAATTTTGCCACTGGTGCGGAAAAAACCCTCTGCTCTGGGAAAAACTAGCGAGAAAGTCAACGAGAGTTTTAAAAAAATAACAGCTTACAATCATACAATATGTTACACAATTAACAACTCAAAACAAATTAGAAACAGCTTGGTAGCGATCAACTCATTCTCATGTATAATACATATTTATAGTTTGGTCTCTCGGGAGTAAGGTACGACCCTAGTGTGGGGCGCCTTGGCAGTCTCTCATTTCAGGAATACCTCGTTTAGAGCAGGGGCGGCATCACAGGCAGCTGAATTAAAAAGCGGCACAAATATTAGTCTCCAAGAGATGACTACGTATTTGCTGCTGGTGAAAAGAGGGTTGGTTCTTTTATCGCTCAAAGGCTAAGTATAGCCATTCAGCGAGGAAATGCATCCAGTGTTCGTGACACTATAACACGAGTAATTGGACTCTATGTTAATTAAATTGTTTTTTTTTTTAATTATGGTAATGAATACAGTATATATTTGACAAAAAAGTAAAATAAGGGTAAAAATAAAAATTTATAAATTTTCAAAAAAGTTTTTTATATTCCTTGCAGTCCTGAATAGTATTATAGGATCTATATTTTTATTTTTTGACTAAAGACTCTACCAGATAGCTGCGTATAGACTGGCATGGTCGATAATCTACTCAGAGGAACCTCATTTCGAAACGATAGATTTAGTAAAGATGTGATAAACGAAATTTATATAAGTACTTACGAACGAAGTAATAAATATATTTTATTTCATTTCCTATCAGATGCGTTATTGCGATATTCCGTTCTTAGTACATTTTGTATTGAGGACGAGCGTTTTTTAAGGCAAAGCGGGTCTCGAAACCATTTTAGTAAAAACTAACGAGATTCGTACGATGAAAGCAATACGATATATTTAAAAAAAGCTAAAATACTAAGTATCTTTTATTATAGTAAAGGTAACTACCATTCATTTCACTTGGCCTATTGTCTCACCCGCACCGACGTGAACTTCCTAAGAAATAAATTGTATCTGTCCCGCGCGAGGCATTTAAAATCGGTACTTACGACAATGCTGATTAGGGCTCGCGATGTGACGCCCTGTTAAATAAATAATGTCCTCCAGACAGAATTTTGGTTGCAGCGACCAGTCCTAATGGATTAGCCACTGCACAGAACAAGGGTATGTGTGCGAGTACCAGCGTGTGCAAAGACAGATGCACCTTCTAACCCTCACTCTCATAGTATGATGGGAAGAGTTTTGACAGAAAAACGTTATAACTGATTTTGGATCGACCCGGAATTCGAACCTGGGGCTACATGATCAGCAATCGCGCTAATGAACTCATGACCAATAGAGCAACGTCGCAGTCAACGTAATGCTAACGATGCAAAAGAAGTAGGACGCTTACGTTCTTGTGTTCTATGCTGTTCTTAGTACATTTTATGTGATTTTACAACTGAGTTAATAATCCTAGTAGGGTTTTGGAAAACGGCTTATTCAGGAGGCAATTTCGCGAAAACTTGCGTGAAAACTCTCGCAGAAGTGAAAAGAAACCTTAAATATATAGTATTTGTATATGTATCAGCGATAAACACAAATATTTCACCTGCATGGTCTGAAACAATTTGTTGTTGGCGTCTGCAGAGAGCTCGAAACTGCCGAGGCAGTAAGCGTTGTGCGTTGCCAGGCAGCCATTATACTCATCGAGATGAAAGAGTTGCGGCATCTCATAGTATTTTTCATCTGAAATAAATACACGTGTTAACTTATTTGAAATATTATTTTATATGGCCAATAGGATATTATTAAACAGATCAGATTAGGTGTCGTCGGTATAAGAACATCCACTACCCCATAGCATCGTGGGTGTCGTGAGAACCGGCAGAGGGTAACAAATCAAATTAACTACAATCCAAAAAGTGTACACAGCATAATAATATAACTGCAGTAGAAACTTAGTCGTAGCAAAAATAAACAAGATAAAATAATAATAATAATAGCGAAGACCTCCGGACCGAATTTCGATCACGGCGGTCAGTCTCAACGGAGTGACCATATCTGCCACAAACACTGCGGAGGAACTCTGCATCCTCTCGATGCTGTCAGAATGTACCCTATATAAGTATAATACCGTAGATGCATACTCTAATAGAGAACGAACAAAATTATAAAATAATCTAAATGGTGCGAGAGGTTGGGAGTATTTTTTGTTTCACGAATTATAAACTGTAAGGTTCTGAAACATTTTGGCATAGAATACACATAATACGGACGGAAAATTTTGAATAGAAATATACCTCAAAATCCTTAACAATCTCCTTGCGTGTAAGAGGCGGCTATTGATATTATATTTAAAATCCTGGCGATTGTGTTTATTAGTGAAGGTGATAAAATTTGCAGAATAATCGTGAATTGCATGTATGTCATTTTGTAATGAGTCGTACACTACACTTATCACACGGTATATTTTCATAACGTCAGCATAAAGTAGGCAGTGACTCTGAATTACGTCAACCAAATCATTTATAAAAATAATGAATAACTACGGCCTTAAATGAGATCCTTTGGGAACACCAGACGTGACTACTGCTGGAGCAAAGTTATAACCTTTAATAGCAACAATCTGGCTCCTCCTTGATGTGTACGATCTGACCCGACGAAATAAATTGCCATGAATACTATTGCCCTCTACTTTTGCACACATAATTCGTGTTTGACCTTGTCAAATGCCTCGGAGAAATTTGTGTAAATAACAGCTTTCGTGCATTTTGAGGTACGAGGATGAAACACCGCCAACTTTCTGGCTCCGGGCTGCTATTGAGAATTTCTTAACTGAAAAGCTCAATAACTAATTTTAGACCAATCCTAGATCTTACGGCTACTAGACTAGATCAATGTCACTGATTAGTTAAAAAAATTGTGTACATCCTTAGAATTTTTTGACATGTATGTACAAACTTTTAAGGTTAAATTGTAACTTTTCGGATGGGAAAAAAAGCACTGAACTCGCGTGGTCATCACACTCAGATACATATATACAAAAATAATGTTTAAAGTTTATTAAGCTAAGAAGTTTCCACTTCTGATACGCAGTCCTACAACTAACAGAAACGTCTTATTTTAAATTTCTTGTCACTTCTTCACACGTGATTTTTGCAGTACTGCAAGATAGACCTTACTACATTAGACCTTTTTACTATAATAGTTACTGCGCTTGTCAAGCGGGTTAGTATTTTACCGTTGTTTTGAGTTATTACCAGGAAGATGCTGCTGCCCATCTCCTATTTTAGATTCCGCCCAAAAGTTCACTCACAATCAGTTGTCAGTTCTCCAGTTATATAGCTGGCCCATTGCCACTTCAATCTATTGATACGTTGGGTTAGTCTTGTTTCTCTGTGGATATCTTCAGCTCTCTCAATTTACATTCAGTACTAATTTTACAGAACGGGATATTAATATGCTCATGCCGCTGAAAAAAATTGATATCACTCGCTCTTCAAAAAAAACAGAAATCGTGCTCTTGACATTATCGTAATTCAAATATTTCCACCCAAAGCTCTATCTTGATTTTTGTGGATAAATATTAATCACTAAATCTTGGCTGTAGGTTGGGTGTTCCAAAATTTCAAGGCCTTTGTGCAGCAGCCATCGTAACATGTTTCTTGTATACGGACATAAAGGCAAATTCATAGTAAAATGTTTTAATTAAAAATTGGCCTTAACCAATTTGCAAAGCACTTTTTGAAAGCTAAGACGGCAAATACATAACAGGCGACGAATAAAAAAAGAAAACAAAAAAATATTCAAGCGAACACAATGGGTCTTATCTTCCAGTTTCCTGTACAATTAATCGATACGATAGTAGTCTCCCTACTTCGTTGAATCCCTCATGTGCAGCAAGAGTTCAGTCACACCATTAATTAATAAACTTAATAATATATCTTTTGATTTATAAATATTATAAATATAAAACTGCACCCGAACACAACTATTACGTAACTGAGTCGTCCATTGTACAAACATAATATGTTCCAGAAAAGTCTATTATCATTTCTGAAGGATAGCAGAGAGCTTTAGGCCGGAACTCGATTTTTTTAAATTTCTCATATGTTTTCTGGGGAAGCTACCTTCCGTGACCGTTAGAAAAAAAATACCGCTCGTAAACTTCCCCGCTGTTTTTGAAGTATCTTAATAATATAAAGTTGGTATAAGTGGCCTACGGTCTATTATTTAAAATTAATTAGATAACTTAAATTAAAAATTTAAAAAACACCGGAAACAAAAAGAGCTGATGATCTTCAAACGGCTGAACGATTTTCGTGAAACATAGATATAACATAGAAATAAGAACACTCAAGATTAGGACACTTTAAAGTATTTAGATTCAGCTATAAGAATTTTAGCAATATTCAGATAAATCTGCAGCCCGGTGCCATTCCCTCACCCTCCTTTACCACGCCATCGCTTAATCATTTTGTGCATAACTTTCGTCATTAATTTTAATGACCGAGAAATATCCATGCTATATTCTACACATAATGAAATCCGGGTTTGAATACCGAACGGGTCGGTGCATTATCAGTTATAGGGATTTTTCTGTCAAGAATCTTAATAGTAGCTAGGAGACAGGAAGGATGTCTCGGAAAGCATGTAAAGCCGTTGGACATGCGCTTGATTTTTCACCGGTTCTATCGAATTACCTGCATATCGGACGAAGTAAAGTTTGCACTTGAAATCGCGCGTGCAGAATCGCAAACGCATCACAGAATAAATAATAGCTATAATAATGTCTTGCGCAGATGTTTAGTGTGTATTGTCACTGGCCGAAATTTAGTGGACATTAGCAAAAGTCCTAAATTAAAGAATAAATAAAAAAAGTTAAAAATTTCTACTAACATAGGTTTTCTCGGTTCACGCCGTTTGTCAACGTAATTAAAACAAATACAAAACTTTAACTAGAATATTAATATTTTGTATGATGCTGGCACTACTGAACCATTCTATAAAATAGTATTAACCACGTGCTCGGTGGTAGGATTACAAAAAAATTAAGGAAGAAAATATGCAACGTATAAATAAAAATATCATAGGTGTTACCTAATTCATCATTGTATATCTACGAGTATCACTAATATAAAAAGCATAAGAGTTTATTTGCTTTTTGTTTTTTTAAGCCCGCTAATCTCTAGAACAACCAGTTTAAATTGAAAAATAGCCTAATAGTAGATAGCCTATACAAAAATTCTTTTTGTATAGGCTATCTAGTATTAGGCTACTCCTGTCAACTAGTCTCAGAAGAAAAAGCGATTCCGAAATGTATTATCCTCGTGCTCTGGCGTAATGGTTAGTACGAGTAATACGTAAATATAATACTCTACAAAAATATAGATCTTTACTCTACCAAAAAGTCCGCAATACAATATGCTTATTTATTATAAATAAGCCACAATAAGGTGTTTTGTGACAAAAATATTGAAAATTAAAAAGTAATTTATGAGCGTTATTATTAGGCATGTTATAATACAAATCCTTATTAACAAAAGTTACTTCATCATTAAGACAATTGTATGAAGATAAACTTCACTCCTTATATTATTTCGACGCATGTTTTGGATAAAATTTAACTTCTCCCTATAACGGACATTAGCCGATAGATAAAGGTACTCTAATAGTTTTGCCAATTTTTCTAAACATTGATGTCTCAAATGCTTGAACTAGGTGTCATGACATGTCGCGCGGCTCAGACACGTGATATACGCGGATGAAACCGTGGGGCACCGCTGGTACCATAAAAGCTTAAAGTTTTAAATCTTGTTAAGAATGAAAAATATATTTTGTTCCTTTATCTATAAATTTTAGATAAATAGATCTTTTTATATTGCTGTCGGTATTGAATAAGTGCATCTATTATATTTCAAAGGCTATTCAAAAGATAATAATCATTCCGTAAATAGAATAGGACAATAATATTATGTAAATTGAAAACTTCTTTAAATAATGCAATATTGAGTATGTTCAGCATTTAACTTATGTTTATGCTGAACATACTCAATGTTATATATTTATTAATTACTTTAAAGGCTGTAATTTATTAAAGTTTCGTTTTATGTAAATTAAAAAAGGAAATTCTGTCTGTCTATGTTTCAGAATACCCTTTTCTTATTACATATATAATGATATGATAAAAATTTATTATATCTATTTTAAATCTCAAACGTATTTGTTTTTAAAATTACAAACATTTTAAGTAATATTAAGTTATACCCACGTTCTACTGTTGACATATTTAACGTAATAAAAATTGTAAGAAGTGGGTTGAAAGTTACCAAATATTTTGCGAAATATATTCGTTCAAAAATTATTACATCACTTTAGTAAAAAAACGCGCGAAAATGTAATCACTTTTTGTTTGTCACAGATAATAAAACACCAATAAAGCGTTGAACGTTAGGTAATTGATAAATTATAAATTAAATAGATAACTTATACACTCCGTACCAGAGAGTTGGTAGATGATGTCTTTTTGTTCATCGCTGGCAGTGCAAGAGACTGCAAGAAACGCCGCGAGGGCGATAAGCGCGCGCGGCGTCATGGCGCCCACTGTATCAATGGTCCACTTCGTCTTCGACCACCACTATTTGAAATAAATTTCGAAGCGTTTCCTTTCACAATACAATTGACATACACACTTTACTTACGTTCGTAGTGTTGTTAATTAAACGTTTAATAAATAACAATATAACATTAAAATATGTTGGATTAAAATAATTATAGTTTATTTAGTTAAAAATTCCGTGTGGCGGCAACTAAAGGAAATCCATCACCTCATTGCGTCCCGTGGGTGACGTAAAAGACGAATAACGAATAAGAGAAATGCTAAAAATATCTCATGGCTTCCGATAGATGGCGATATAACCATATAGAACAAGATGATAAACGTGCACACAGCCCATTTGATGGTAAGTGTACGCTGTAGCCCATAAACGTCTACATTTATTCTCGATTAAATATCAAAACGCAGATGCGTTGTCACCCCTGAGGACTAAGATGGAATGCCGCGTTTCCAGTAAAAAAGGGTCTCCGGATCTCTACACCCACCATACGAAACAAAGCAGTAATTAGCTGCTGTTTTACGTTGGTATTCTGTGAGAGCATGGTCTTTCCCCGGTTGAGCCGACCCATTCGCGCTACAACCATAAAACAGCTGCAACGTGGCTTTACCACGTATAAAACATACTCAGACCGAGGACAGGCAGCAGCATTGAAGGTGCTGGGCTTTTGGTATTGTGATTGCTAATCCATCTTCCATGCGCGACGATAAAGGCAAATCCTCACTACAACGGGAGAGGTCTATGATGTACTGCAGTCTACATTTAAGAGCTGATGATCATGAAAAAGAAGAATTATAGTTATTTCTTTTTATAGGATAAGGTTGACAAACAAGCACACAGTATGTAATGTAGCGAGGGCGACACTGAAAGTTTTAGAACTGACCACTTGTAAACAGTATAACAAAAAATAAAGTTCAAATATTGAAAATGGAACTCTATGCCAATATTATTAATAATAATAAATAGGGGTAGAGGCGTGACAACCCATCGCCCGCTGACGTAATAGTTAAGTGACAAAACTGCTACGTCGGTGCAGTCAGTCAGCGCCTTGCCAAGAGGCGTGAACGCCGTGCTTCAGCAGTACTGAGGGTGCAAAGCCCCTTTTGTGCTTACGGCCGTACAATGTTACAATGAAACGGTGCCGGGCCTGGGCGTCTCTCGTTAATTGGCACCCAGAAATGGATGATGGATTATAATATACAACGTATAGGGCCGTTGCCTGGAGGTTGCCGGGGTGGGTCTGGAGCTGGCGCTGGACTCGGTAGCAAGCGAGCCGCCAGCCGAGCGCGAGGAGTTGCAATATCACCTAGCAGCCCCCCACATCCATCATCCCGTCACGGAAAAAAACCTGGCAGACCGAGTTCGGTGCATCATGTGCTCGAAAATATTTGATGATGCCGAGCTCTAACGACTACGACGTGAGGCCATTCCCTCATCGAATGAATTGGCTATGGCTGGGGATGCAGGTCCTTAGGCGACAGACCAGCATTCATACGTGGAAGCCGCCATGAATCTTCCAGTTGTGGTTGATTCAGACGATGATTAAATGGTCTCCCACGAACTAGAGCAAATTAGGAGCATATTGGAAGAGGCGATTTCGGAAACGCGTAGCATGCGTCTCGAAAATCGACCGCGACTTCCCCGCATACCCCTAAGAAAGCGAAATCGGGCTATCATGAGGGCTCTTAACCCAATGCTGGTGACCTATTTGAAAGCCAGCCGGGACCTTTGCGAGACGAATTCAATTCTTTTTGGCGCCGTAGTGGGAGTTTGCCGTATTATTGACACCAAACTTCCCATGGATGGACGCAATAATAAACAAAGTAGCGCCATTCCAGCCTGGAGAAAAAGAATAGAAGATCGTATGACAAAGGCAAGGTCCCTTATCGGCAGACTGACAAGCTACAGGTCGGGTAATAATAGACCGAGGGTTGAGCGCACCGTTAGAAGGCGTTTGCTGGGACAAATATTAGCTTGTCCCAACCAGATATCACGCTGAAACTAACGAAGCGCATAGACGACCTGAAGCAAAAAATCGCTGATTTGGGGAAGCGGATTCGACGATTTAACGAGATTTCAAGGCAGTTCAACCAGAATCGTCTCTTCCAGAGTGATCAAAAGAGGCACTATAAATCATTGGAGCAACCAGAGGTATGTGGAGCGGACCCAAGACCGGATCAGGCCGACACTGTCGCATTCTGGCGTGGCCTGTGGTCAGAGTCCGTAAATCACAGCGAGGACCCTTGGATGGAAGTTGTGGCGAGTCAGGATGCGAGTGTTACGCCTGTGGAACCCGTCACCATAACGCCGTAAGACGTGGCTGAGGCAGTCCGTAGGGCCCCGAACTGGAAAAGTCGGGGATCGGAGATACATCCTAAAGGATAGCACCGTCGATGTCTGTCGAGCTTATCGCCAACCCGGTGAGTCACTTAAGCAGTTGTGGTAGTAGGTTGTTCAGTGCTTTCTAATTCCGAATACTTGCAAAGGCACAACCTAGTAGTCAGAATTATACACCAGGAGGTCGCTCTGAAATACGGTCTCGTGGACCGGAAATTGCCGTATTACAAGTAAGCTCTACGGGGACCGGGCCATCATCACAGACAGGACTATTCTTGCGAATAAGCCTGATATTGTGCTATTGGACCGGGCACAGTCAAGGATATAATGGGTCGACATTACCATTCCGTGTGACGAGAACCTCGTGAAAGCCGAAATAGAAAAACAAACAAAATACCTGGAGCTGGCTCACGAGGTGACCGACATGTGGCGTGGTGTGCCGGCCGAAATGATTCCATTAGTCGTCTCTGCGAATGGGCTAATCCTAGTCAGCCTCTCTGGTCATCTGAGGCGACTGGGACTCCGTGACGGACCGCTCCGGGCTCAAATGCAGAAGGCGGTGCTCCTCAATACCGCCCGCATAGTCCGCCGTTTTCTTTCCCTTTCCTCCTAACCCTCGGCCGTTTGGTCTCCCCTGCCGAGGGCTTCCATCTGGTTGGGCTTTTATATGTTTATGTATTTTTTATGTATTTATTTTATTGATATTTATGTATATTTATCATTTTCTTTCACAATTATATATTTATGGAACCCAACCAGATGAGAAAACAAATATATATACAAATAAAGTGTTTTCAGGACTAAACCGCACAAATGAGGATATATATCCTTGTGGCTAACTCCCTTATCCCTGCAGCCACTGAGCTTTCTGGACGAGTTGCCTGACTCATTTCAATATCGAATTCTTCCCAAATACTGTCTGTTGTGCCGGTACCTGTGGTTCCTGTCGATAGTGACCTTCTACCACATTTGAGTCACCTACCTGGACTCGTACTTCTGCAACTCTACGTTTTAAGTTTTCGATGGCTCTGTTGTATGCTTCTGGAGTTAGAAAGGCTTTCTGCTTGAACCTTGGATCCAAAATTGCCGTATCAGCATATAATGCATTGGGCTCTAAATCGTGAAAACGGGCGTTAATATTGTTTCTTAATCTATTTAAAAAAAATGAGGACTTCAGGCTGTCGATTGTTTTGGGCCAAGCAATTTACTATATGCTTGGACAAAAACTTAGAAAATATAAGGATTTTCGATAAGCTTACATGATTTTTCGGAGCTTATTTCTTGAGTAACTTCATTGAAAGGCCGAAGAATTGGTACAATTTTTTCAGTTAACTCCCACTCTGAAGTCTGAAGTCTAAGGTCACTTCGTATTAGGGCTATGGTGCTGATAACAGCATCTTTAATTTTTAATATGCGTTCTAGCATATCGTAGCAGGAATTACAACGCGTTGGACATTCTAACTTTAGTTTCAAAAGTGGTAAATTAATTTGCTTTTGAGCAACTTCTAATTTCGACTATGCTACAGAACTTATTTAAAAAAAATTCCACTAGTGCTTTAACTTTAACAACTACATCAGCAATTGTTTTTATAGCGTCCTGTATTATTAAATTCTATGAATGAGCGAAGCAGCTTAATCGTCATTCTCGGAGTCTCAGCAGGATGCGTGTCGGCTGACATATCGGCTACGCGGACGATGTGGTTCTGCTGGCACCCTCAGTTAGTGCGATGAGAACTCGTTGTCTCACATGGTTTTTTTATAGGATAGGGTGACAAACGAGCACACATCCACCTGATGGTAAGTGGTTACTGTGGCACATAGACATCTACATTTATCCTCGATTACGACTCAAAATGCAGATGCGTTGTCACCCATGAGGACTAAGATGGAAGCCTCGTTTCCAGTAAAAAGGGTCTTCGGTTCGCTACACTCACCATACGAAACACAGCAGCATTAAGCTACTATTTTACGCTGATATTCTGTGTGAGCGTGGTCCTTCGTTGTTTACAATACAATACCAAAAAGTCGCAGTTCATGGTATTTAAGGCTGGCAATAAATGTCCCAGTGTGGTACCACCTATAAAACTCTATAATGAACCGCTAGAAAGGGTCTATAGTTTTAAATATCTTGGACATATTGTAACTGACAGCCTTAAGGACGATGAAGACATTGAAAGAGAACGTAGGGCACCGTCGGCCAGGGCGAATATGTTGGTATAGATTTGGTCGCTGCTCTGACGCTGTCAAAATCACGCTTTTCAAAGCATATTGTTACGCGCCAAAGTCGACGGCACTAGCGCCATCTAGTGTCGAACCGAAGAACTAAACTTCTTGAAGTCGAAACTCGAACTCTCGGTACCTTGGGCGTATTTACTTGAATATTCTGGATATTTCGCTGTTAATTTACATAAATAGGCGCTGCAAGATGCGATCGGGAAGTATTGAATTTGGCGAGACAAGCGAAGCTTCGGAGCGGAATAAAGTGAATCAGTGTGATTAATTATTAGTGTTTTTAACTTTAATTAGTGTAAAGTGAATTAAAGCGTTAATTTAGGTAATTCTATCGGCAATTTTTATTGTCACGAACCTCAAGCTCGTAACAATTGGTGTCAGAAGTGGGATAAAATCATGCCGATTTTACCTAAGGAGGAAACGGAGGGTGTCCGTACCCGAAGTCAACGCCAGCAGGAGACGGACCAACGAAGATTTGGTGGTGCAACGCCGCGGACGTCGGAGGGCCAGCCACCGGCTGCAGGCCCGTCGGTAGCTCCTACATCTGCAGCACCCGACTTAGGTGCTCTGATGGTGATGCTGCAGGAACAGGTTCGTTGACAGGACGAACAGGTCCGTCGGTTGGAAGAGAAGCTGCGGGGTGGACAGGATGAACAGGTTCGCCGACAGGAGGAACAGGTCCGTCGTTTGGAAGAGCAGCTGCGGGGCGGACAAGAGGAACAGGCCCGTCGGTTGGAAGAGCAGATGCTCCTTATGAAGGACCTTCATGCTACCTTTGGGAAAGAGATAAGGGAGGTGAAGGATAGGGTTGCTTAACATGACAACCGCCTGTCGGAAGCTGAAACCCAAATCAAGGAAGCTAAAACCCAAATCGACCAAGTGAACAATCGGGTTGATAACGTGATGGCTGACGTGAAGAAAGACGCTAGACGACCTCAAACTTGGGGATGGAACAACAGCTCCCGTAGTAGCTACAACATCTTCGCTACGTGGATTCAAAGTGCCGCCGTTCGACGGGATTTCTTCCTGGTCGGCCTACAAAATCCAGTTCGAGGCCGTCATGGAAGCGAACGACTGCACTCACCCTAGGCCTGCGCGACCAAGCCTTAACTGTGTTGGAAGCTCTCGGTAAGAAAGTGACCTACGAGCAGCTCCTTGAGGCGTTGGAGGCGAGATATGGCGACGCTCACCTGGAACACGTCTTTCGCGCGCAGCTTAAAGATCGCGTGCAACGCAGCAACGAAAACCTGCAGCAGTGGGCGCTTGAGGTGGAGAAGATGGTTCGAAAAGCATACCAGTCTGTACCTGCGCTCATTGAAGGGAACCTGGTGCAGACATTCATCGACGGCATCCGCGACCTTGAAGTCAGAGCTGCTGTGAGGCTCGGGCATCACGAGACGCTTAAGGACGCCTTGGCCCATGCACTGGAGGTGGAAGCCGTGCGGCAGGATCATCGTTCCCATCGCGTCAGGGAGGTTGCAGCAGCTACAGTTCGCGACCGCAACAAAGGATATAGCCCTAGGTGCTATGGCTGTGGGGAAAAGGGCCACCTTCGATCCAGCTGCCCTAAGCGAACCGCAGAAAGGGAAAGTGAACGATATCAGGAGGGTAGTGCAGCTAACGGCACTGCCTGGCGGCGACAGGATCATCGTTCACCTCACGCTAGGGAAGTTGCAGCAGTTACGGTTCGCGACCACAATAAAGGATACAGCCCTGGGTGCCATGGCTGTGGGGAAAGGGGCCATCTTCGGTCCAGCTGCCCTAAGCACACCTTAGGAAGGGAAGGTGAACGGTCTCAGAAAGGAAGTACGGCTAACAGCACCGCCCAGCAGCAGCAGGAATACGACTTTATTATCAGACACTGCAGCGGGAAATCTCGCGGCAACGCAGATGCATTGTCAAGAAGACCTTGTCCTGAAGATTGCAACCATTGTAGTAGGCAAGGTAAGGAAGTGGTATCCGTGAGGATTCTCAGGACAGACCACCTCAGCAACGGGTGGAAGGACAGCCTACGACATGCACAGCAGGAAGATCCGGATATCAAGCCGATTCTGGGATATATGAAGGCCCGTGCTACCAAGCCTAAGTGGAGGGACGTCTCAGCGATGAGTTCAACCACGAAAAGCTTTTGAGCCCAATGGGACAGCTTGCTGCTTCAGGATGGAGTCCTGTGCCGTAAATGGGACAATAGTCGAGGAGACAGCTGTCGTTTGCAAATGGTTGTCCCTAAAGCTAAAGTGCCGAATGTTCTACAGCTGTGCCATAATGGTCGTTCAAGAGTCCATCTGGGAGTTAAACGAACTTTACTGAAGGTTCGAGAACAGTTTTACTGGGTCCATTATCGTGATGATGTCGAAGATTGGTGTCGTACATGTACAAGTTGTGCGGCTGTAAGGGGACCTCAGACACGGAGTAGAGGAGCATCGAAATTGTACAATGTTGGTGCACCACGGGATAGGACATCCCTTGACTTTGCGGAGCCGTTACAGAAAGGCGCAAAGGGGACTCCTAAGATCGTCCATGTGGATCGCTTGGCGCGTTATTATGGGGCCGATAATGGTCGGTGCTCTTAGGAGGGGGCAGTGTTACGCGCCAAAGTCGACGGCACTAGCGCCATCTAGTGTCGAACCGAAGAACTAAACTTCTTGAAGTCGAAACTCGAACTCTCGGTACCTTGCGCGTATTTACTCGAATATTCTGGATATTTCGCTGCTAATTTATATAAATAGGCGCTGCAAGATGCG